CATCATCATCATCATCACCATCATCATCATCACCATCATCATCCTCATCATCATCATCATCATAATAATCATCATCAGCAGCATCATCATCATCAGCATCATCATCAGCAGCATCATCATCATCATCATCGTCATCGTAGTGAGCATCATCATCAGCAGCATCATCATCATCAGCATCATCATCATCAGCATCATCAGCATCAGCATCATCATCAGCATCCTTATCATCAGCATCATCAGCATCGTCATCATCATCAGCATCATCAAAATCATCATCAGCATCATCACCAGCATCAGCATCAGCATCAGCATCATCAACATCATCATCAGCAGCATCATCATCAGCATCCTCACCATCACCATCACCGTCACCATCATCAGCATCATCATCATAATCAGCATCAGCATCATCAGCAGCATCATCATCATAAGCAGCAGCATCATCAGCATCGTCATCATCATCAGCAGCAGCACCATCATCAGCATCATCGTCATCAGCATCATCATCGTCATCCCCATCCTCATCATCATCGTCATTATCATCATCAGCACCGTCATCATCATCAGCAGCAGCATCATCAGCATCATCATCGATGATCATCATCCTCATCATCATCAGCAGCAGCAGCATCCTTATCATCAGCAGCATCGCCATCATTATCATCAGACTAACCATCAGCAGCATCATCATAAGCGTCATGATCAGCATCATCATCATCACCATCCGCATCACCAGCATCATCAGCAGCAGCATCATCAGCATCATCATCATAATCATCAGCATCATCGTCACCATCATTGTCATCATCATCGTCATCCTCCTTCTCCTCGTCATCATTAGCAGCACCAGCAGCATCATGATCATAAGCAGCAGCATCATCCTCATCGTCACCACCATCATCGTCATCATAATCAACAGCAGCATCATCATCGTCATCGTCGTCGTCGCCGCCGTCCTCAGAATCATCATCATCATCATCATCATCATCATCATCATCATCATCAGCATCATCACCATCATCATCACCATCATCATCAGCAGCAGCATCAGCATCATGCTCATCATTATCATCATCATCAGCAGCAGCATCATCAGCAGCATTAGCACCAACGTCGCCAACATAAATCTCATGAGGGCCTTCTGCCTCTTCTCCATTGCAAGTGGGATAACTCGCAGAAAAAAGTGGGACAACGAAAGCAAACGTCGGAGCACTGCATGCCAACATAGCAAGGCACTCCAGTGCATCACAACGCGACGAAACGAAAAGACACTACAGAGTCCGCCGACCCAAGCTTGCCTGGGGTGAGAAGGCGTGTGAGATGATTGGCTGTTCCCCTCCCCAGGGTCCGAAATCCAGTTTGAGGGGGGGGGTATCTGGACTCGTCAGCGCACACCTGGAAGCTCCAGAATCCGGAGCTTCCAGATCTGGCTTCCGTGGCCTCAGGACGTTCCCAGACGGTCCCAAATCGCTGAACGATTGGCCAAAGACGCTTTCGATGGCTCCAAGACGCCCCAAAACGCCTTCGAGACGCCCCAAGAGCCCTCCCAAGAGGGCCCCGAGAGGCCCCGTAGGATTTCAAAAGATTGAGACGCTCTCGCCTGTTCTGTCTTCCGACGCTCCAAGATGGCCAAAGAAGCCCCCGCGAGGCTCCCAAGACGGCCCAAGAGACCTCTAAGACAACCTAAGAGCGCCGCAAGACGGCCCAAGAGGCGCCCAAGACGGCCTTAAGACGGGCAAGACGTTCCCAGACGGTCCCAAATCGCCGAACGACTGGCCAAAGACGCTTTCGATGGCTCAAGACGCCCCAAGACGCCTTCGAGACGCCCCAAGAGCCCTCCGAAGAGGGCCCCGAGAGGCAAAAATCACTGACTTCCAATAGGTGTTCAAACCAATGTGGCGTGCTCGCCTTTTCTGTTTCCGGACGCTCTAAGACGGCCAAAAAGGCCCCCACGAGGCTCCCAATACGGCCCAAGAGACCTCCAAGAGAGCCCCAGGACAGACTAAGAGCGCCCCAAGACGGCCCGAGAGGCGCCAAGACGGCCCAAGAGGGCCCTAAGACGGCCCCAAAGACGTTCCCAGACGGTCCCAAATCACTGAACGATTGGCAAAAGACGTTTTCGATGGCTCAAGACGCCCCAAGACGCCTTCGAGATGCCCCAAGAGCCATCCCAAGAGGGCCCCCAGAGGCAAAAATCACTGACTTCCCATAGCTGTTCAAACCAGTGTGGCGTGCTCGCCGTTTCTGTTTTCCGACCCCCAAGACAGCCAAGGAGCGCCCCAAGACGGCCCAAGAGGCACCCAAGACGGCCCAAGAGGGCCCCAAGACGACGCCAAAGACGTTCCTAGACGGTTCCAAATCGCTGAACGATTGGCCAAAGACTCTTTCGATTGCTCCGAGGCGCCCCAAGACGCCTTCGAGATGCCCCAAGAACCAAGCCCCAAGAGGCCCCCAAAGACCCAAAAGGAGGCCCCAAAACGGGCCCCAAGACGCTTCAAACTGCCTCCAAGAGGCTCCGCCAGTCCCCCTAAAACAGCTCCCAAGACGCCCACAAGCCACAAGGGTCCCCTAATAGTACCCAGGAACCCCACGACGCCTCAACCGTGGACTCCCCGCCTCTTCTGGGGGTCGGCGGAATGGTGGAAACCTCTTGAACAAACTTACCGAGCTGGAGGAGTCAACATCAAGCCAAGTTGTCATATCATATCATGCTATTGAAGGTGGGTGTACACCAACACAGATGTCAAGCAAAACTGTGCGAGGCGGCCTGTGACGCAAGTATGTGTTTGTATACACTTCTCGATGTATGCGTGTCATTCTTGCGCAGGGGCCATGCTAATCTTCTCTGTGTCGTTCCAATGTGTAACGGATGATCCCCTGCCGTAAACACAGACTTGCGTCCTGTGACGCAAGTATGTGTTTACGGCAGGCGATGGCAAGGCGAAGTTTAAAAGTATGGCGAACTATGTGCCAGGCGCCGGGAGTCTCGCCAAATAGCACCACGACCGCGAGTGCAACGAGAGGCGACATAGTCTTGAAGCACGCAACCGAAAAGCGCGAAGCACGGTGCTCCGAAACGGCCCGCTGTCATAGAGTTCAAACTTTATTATTTTTCACCCTCTGCGTCCCCGATACCCAACCCAATGCCTTCTTGCCCTCTGTGCCTCCAGCATTTCTGCCCCCGCCGAAATACCTATATGCACATAGAAGCATGTTTATATCTAACTCTATGTACATCGATGTTGGCATGTGCTGCTTCATCACGCCATTATGCCCGCCCTCCTTACCAGGAGGAGGATACGGAGAAGAGGAGGGTGCTGAGCTGCCGCGCCCCTCCGACTTTCTCGTTCTTGACCATGAGGTGCTCCTTGCCCTGCTGGCAATACGTGATCGGCGGTGCGTGCTCGTAGACGTAGTCCGACCTGCGGGAGCCGGCACTCGGAGCGACTCGAGGACGCGCCAGGAGGGAAGGGGCGGGGGAGGGGGAGGTTGGAGGCGGCCAAGGGGCCCGAGCTGGATCGGCCCGAGAAAACTCGTCAAGACGGCGCGGATGAGGACAAATCCTCTCAGAATCGGTCCCCGCCAGTCCCAGGGTCCATCGGGTGCAAATGTCTACCCGCGATGGGGTCAGATTCCAACCAGACGGTTCAGATCCCGACGGGACAGTTCACATCCCAACCGGTAAGAAATCCAAAACTTTTCAGATTCCAACCGCCAGGGAAAGCTCGATTCAAAGTTGCTATTGCATGATTTCTGGGCAGAGAAGATCGAAGGGGAACCCTTGAGGGAACCCACTCGGTGTTCACAGTGCGCGGTTGGGATCTAGACCATCCCACTGCCCAATGTCATCAGAGATTTAACTACTCCACGGAGGCCCCAGATCGGCTCAAGGCACTCCAAGACGGCAACAGACACCAACCTATACGAAACGTATGCGAAACTTCCCTAAAAAACGTATACCAAAACTAATGGCACGCGGACACGAAATTGAAAAGACGTGTACACGGCTCGCATGCGAGCTTTATCTGAAACGCATGCGAAACGCTTACAAAACGTATACGGAACGCTTACGCAACTTCAACGGCATGAGCGTGAACCGTATATGGCGCGTATACGAAACGCTTACGTGAAATTCATTGGAAACTTATATGAAACGAGAATCCCACCAGCCCTTCCGGGCGTGAGTGGTTTAGAAAGGTTTCTCTTCCAACCCCCTTCTTCCCCTTCGGGGAGGGATTTACCACTGTTCCCTATCAATAAACGCCCCCTCCCCCAGGAGACCTGCAGCCAACCAAAACCAATGAGGGCCCCCCCCAAACCATCCCTGCCAAATTAGCCTGGCGAAGAACCCAACCATCTGCAGCTGTGGGTACCGCAATTGTGGGTATCGTCTTCCGTGAAGCTTCCCATCGGCCACGAAACGCTGTACTGGGCGGGGGAGACTCCTGCGAACTGCGCCACCAGGGCCTTCGGTGGATCTGCCTCGATCGCAGCTTCCAGAGGCCGGTGTTGGGTCCAGGGCTATGAGCAAACATACCCAGAACTGAGAGTCTTGTCCCTTGGATGGTGTCCAGAGGTCCAGGGGCCTTGCGCCATGGAGAATTCCAGGGGCCTCGCGCAAGCGTCTCTTCCTCGAAATCAGTCGCGGGGACGCACGTAAACCATGCCACTGAAGCCTTGGGTGAAGCTCCTCATTGGGCCACGAACCGTGTGAGGGGTGCGCCGAAATGAATCGCGGGGAAGCACGTAAACCCTGCCACTGGGGACTTCGGTGAAGCTCCCCATGAGGCCACGAACCGTGGGAGGGGTGTACCGAAATTAGCCGCGGGGACGCATGTAAACCCTGGCACTGGGGCGTTCGGTGGAACTACCTGTGGGGCCACGAACCGTTTGAGGGGTGTGCCGAAATGAATCGCGGGGACGCATGTAAACCCAGGCAATTGGGCGTTCTGTGGAGCTCCCTGTGGGGCCACGAACGGTGTGAGGGGTGTGCCGAAATGAATCGCGGGGACGCGTGTAAACCCTGGCACGGGGGTCTTCGGTGGAACTCCCTGAGGGGCCACGAACCGTGTGAGCGTTGTGCCGAAATGAATCGCGGGGACGCATGTAAACCCTGCCACTGGGGCCTTCGGTGAAACTCCCCATGAGGCCACGAAACGTGTGAGGGGTGTGCCGAAATGAGTCGCGGGGGCGCATGTAAACCCTGATACTGGGGCCTTCGGTGGAACTACCTGTGGGGCCACGAACCGTGTAAGGCGTGTGTCGAAACGAGTCGCGGGGACGCATGTAAACCCTGCCACGGGGGTCTTCGGTGGAACTCCCTTAGGGGCCACGAAACGTGTGAGGAGTGAGCCGAAAAGAATCGCGGGGACGCATGTAAACCCTGCCAATGGCACCTTCGGTGGAGCTCCCCATGAGGCCACGAAACGTGTGGGGGCTGTGCTCAAATGAATCGCGGGGACGCATGTAGACCCTGCCACTGGGGCCTTCGGTGAAGCTCCCCATGGGACCACGAACCGTGTGAGGGGTGTGACGAAATAAATCGCGGGGACGCGTGTGAACCCTGGCACTGGGGCCTTCGGTGAAACTCCCCATGAGGCCACGAAACGTGTGAGGGGTGTGCCGAAATGAGTCGCGGGGGCGCATGTAAACCCTGCCGCTGGGGCCGTCGGTGGAAGTCCCCGTGGGGCCACGAACCGTGTGAGGGGTGCGCCGAAATGAGTCGCGAGGACGCATGTAAACCCTGCCACTGGGGCCTGCGGTGGAGCTCCCTGAGGGGCACGAACCGTGTGAGGGGTGTGCCGAAATGAGTCGCGGGGACGCATGTAAACCCTGCCACTGGGGCCTTCAGTGGAGCTCTCTATGAGGTCACGAACCGTGTGAGGGGTTTTCCGAAATGGAGGCGGCGGTGCCATGCGAACCCTGGCACTGGGGCCTTCGGTAGAGCTTCCCATGGGGCAATGAAACGTTTGAGGGGCGTGCCGACATGAGTGGCACGGACGCATGGGATGATGATGATGATGATGATGATGATGATGATGATGATGATGATGATGATGATGATGATGATGATGGTGGTGGTGGTGATGATGCTGATGGTGATGAAGAAAACGACGACGACGACGACGATGAAGACGACGACGACGACGACGACGGTTGTGGTGGTGGCGGTGGTGGCGGTGGTGGCGGTGGTGGTGATGGTGATGGTGATGGTGATGATGATGGTGATGATGGTGATGATGGTGATGATGATGATGATGATGCTGGTGATGGTGATGGTGATGATGGTGGTGATGGTGATGGTGATGGTGATGGTGATGGTGATGGTGATGGTGATGGTGATGGTGATGATGATGATGATGATGATGATGATGATGATGATGATGATGGTGGTGGTGGTGATGATGATGGTGGTGGTGGTGGTGTAGGTGATGGTGGTGATGAGAATGAGGATGGAGGATAGAGGATGGAAGGGGAGGAGGAGGAGGAGGAGGAGGAGGAGGAGGAGGAGGAGGGAGAGGAGGCGGGACGCGGGGCGCTCTCTCTGCAAAACGAGGACCCAACACTAGAGGATGGATGGGAACAAACATGTGGAGCCCACTGTGGGGCACAAAATCGGGTCACAATCGGGGAGTGCGCGAGCACTTCGTCTTGCTGTTTGAGAGGGGCGGCGGGGGTGCCCGCATATTACCTTCTGTTCGCAGAGCCAGCGCCCGTCAAAACACAATACCACATGCACTTCGGGGCAACTTCTGGATCACGCGCGGGCGCCGCGCGGTCTCTGTGCATGGTTGCTTGTTGACTGGGGCGGCGGAGGTGCTGGCATATGTTCTGCGAGGTGCAGGCCCACCCAACGCTGTGGTGGCCATCTCGCCGCGACTGCGCACTGGTTGTGGGGGCCGACATGCTTCACACGTGGCGCACGCGGATCACGTGGCACATCTGGCGCACCAGGCGTGACGGCACGCTTGGGCCACAGGCGCATCTGGCGCACGTGGCGCGCCTGGCACGCCTGGCTCACCTGGCGCGCGTGGTGCGCCTGGCACGCCTGGCGCATCTCGTCCCAGCGTTGCGCACATGGGGTCTGCGTTGGTTCCCGTTCGCTGTCGATCCAACGACTACCGCTGGACACGCTGCGGCTCGGGTGCTACTTATGCGTTGGGAGGGAGGGTGGGAGTGAACGAGACGGATTGCGGGCGGGCAGGGCGTCTTGAACCCTCCGCCTTACCCCTTCCCCCTTGCCTTGGAGGGGGTGGTCTCGGGTCGTTGGAGCGTCCAAGATAGCCTCGGCGAGAAGGCCACAATCGCTGATTGCCCTAAGGTTCTGGACCCTGTTTGGCCCCCTCTGGGGGGGGGCCTAATTGGACCCCCCCTTCGTTGATCGAACTCCCCCAAGATGGCCCAAAGATGGCCCCTGGGGCCCGAGAGCGCCCCAAGAGGGCCCCGAGGAGGCCCCCAAGATGCCCCCCAGGGTGCCCCGAAGAGACCCTTGGTAGTCCCCAAACGTGGTGGTGACAACACCTGGCGGTGAATCTCGGGCGATTTGGTGTCACCCCCCCGTTTGGGGACTCGTGCTGTTTTCCGAGGATGTCCCGAACACTGGTGGGTCCAAGAATCACAAAACCCGATGGTGACCCCGTGTCCCCAAACCCAGCGGTGACCTTTTTGGGGGATTCCAGGTCGCCACCTGGTATCTCACCACCCGGTTTGGGGGTTCCCAAGACCCCCCAGAGGCCCACAGAGGCTCCCCGGAGGCACCCTAGACGCTTCAAGAGGCCCCAGGGGCCGTCAGGAGGCCCCCAAGACGCCCCAGCAGGCCTACAAGAGGCTTTCGAGAGACACCCGAAGGAACTCCGTGAAGCGTCCAAGCGGCCTCTCATCCTCCTCCTTCTCCTCCTCCTCTTCTCATCCGTCTTCTTCTTTTTATTCGCACTATGAATACCATCACTCGTATTATTATAAATTATTCCTGATATTAATAGTATTACGGTATTATGTCTAGTATGCTTAATCGTAGTCTTAGTAGTGGTAGTATCCTTATTCGTCTTGTTAGCATCATTATTCTGAGTGTCATTATTATTCTTTTGAATGTAATTATTACTATTACAATAATACGAGTATTCGTCTTGTTATTCATCCTGCTCCTCCTCAGCAGCAGCATCAGCATCATCAGCATCATCATCATCATCATCATCATCATCACCACCACCACCACCACCACCACCACCACCACCTCCTTATCATTATCAGCAGCAGCATCATCATTATCAGCATCAACAGCAGCAGCAGCCACATCGTCATCGTCATCAGCATCATCATCAGCATCATCAGCATCAGCAGCATCAGCGGCATCAGCAGCATCTGCATCATCTGCATCATCATCATCAGCATCACCATCCTCATCATCATCATCATCATCATC